CACGATGCTGAGCTTTCTTTAGAAATTATTTTTTTCAAATTCGGATGGCCTAATGTTGCGTGGAGTGTAAGCCAACGAAATGAACCCATCCTAGCAATGAAATGGAACAAAACAGCTTTCCAATATACGGAATAAACGCTTCAAAGGCTACAAATTAACAATTTTTTAGGCGCTTGAAAGAGGTGCTATCAAGTACCTTCTTGTTGAATTCATTTTCATTCCACTTCTCAGCTCGAAATTGGAATAATCTTTATTTGTTTTTGGAACTGAATTTCCTATCTTAACGTAAACAGGACAATGTCAGAGCGTAGGAAAAGAGCTCAGTCTTGTAAAGCAGAAAAGCTGTAAAACTGTTTGCATACCTTGCCCAAAAATCCACACGGTAACATTTACGTCGAAGAAAATTTACGAAATTTTGTCAGTCCCAATATTTTCGTGAATGTTCCACAAAGTTTTCTTATTGCGTCAACTAATGACTAGAAGATTTTTTTAGAACTCCAAATTATTTTTAAACAAGTTTCTTAAATTTTTTAAACAACTTTGAGTTACAGGAGGCAAATAACCTCTCTCCTTGCAGTAATCGCACTTTTAATTGCCTCAAATTCGTTCGGATCGCTGTGGTCAGATGCTTCATGGGCTTTTGCTTTGATGGTATTCTGGGTCGTCATATTGATTTTCACCGTTGTGGCTTTTGAGGTAATTTTTTTTCACCAACAATAGCTGTAAAAAATTCTTTGTTTGTAGCAACTACTTATACTTCTCACCAAATTCAGGTCCTCGCTTATATGAAATCAAAACCACCCAGCAAGACTGGATCTATGGAGATGCGAAACCGAGTAGGCCATCAGTACGATGATTCAGGAAGAGTGGTCAACAACCCACCGAAGGTTATCAACAAGAAGGTGAACACAGTTAAAAATCAGTGAAAATTTTCCTAAAAAGTCAATCTTTACAGCCATTGTATGCAACTGCTGCCCTCTACCTACTCTTTGGACTCTTCTCACTTAGCATTGTGGCTCTCTTACTCATAATGCTGGTTGTCTAAAAGCTCGAAAATGCTCAAGTGCTTAAAGCTGCCCTAAATGATGAATGCGTAGGGCACGCACATGTTCCATTGGCTCAAGATCTACTTGTGCAGCGGCTTACCTTTACGCTTATCGTCCTCTTCGACACTCAAGTTGATTTAACTTGCCGTTTTACTAGCAATCGACTAGTCATTTTGTAGTGTTGTTTGCATTTTTATCCGAATTCAGTAACCCAGTGAATTCTTGTACTGAACATATATTCTGACAAAATAACATCCATTTGCTATTTTCAAACCTGCACTCTGATTTGTCGATGCAAATTCATATAATAAACAGATTACTATTTTTACTTGTTTATTCACTAACAAGGCTCACTACTTTTTTAGAGAGTCGAAATCAAGCAGTAAAAACG